CCATATAGATGATCGATGGTTCCTCTCACACAACACACACCATGGCCGACTCTTCCCTGACCCTGACAGCTTTTATGATGGGATGGCTGGACAACTCAGGGCCCCATCTGGTAAAGTCGCAGCTTTTCCTTTCCCCATCCAGGATTTCTTTCCTTTCCTGTTTCCTCTTCATCCTGCGAGCCAGAAGTTAAGATCTAGCAACACAGAGAAACTTTGGCGTAATCCAGTTCCTGAAGTCAAACTCCACCCTGGCTGGTTGGGGCACAAAACGACAGTATTTCTACTCTACCAACTTCCTGAAAACAATTAAGATGATACGCAAGAATCTGAAAACAGCAAAGGAAAATTGCAAAGCATTAAAGGGGGGCTCTTTTAAATGCAACCTCAAATCCTTCCTGGACAATGTGAAAAGTTAAGCTTAAAAGGCCGATCTAGACCTGGACGCTGTGAGGACAGCGCCACTTCCTGGCCTTGTTTCAGGATGGCAGAGATTGTTCGGGGATGATCTTCGTGCTGCCTCATGGACTGGAGGGAAAAGGTGAGGCCGGATGTCTGAATGCGCCCTGAGACCCGAAAACAATCGGCATTCAGTGCTGTTGTCCAGAATTGGGGAAATCTGTCCCCAGTACTGTACTGGGGCTATAAACAGAGAGCAAGACCCGCTCCCTTCTAGCCAGATAGCAAAACGTTTGCAGGACAACAGCCAAGCTCAGAGAACCCCAAGGACTCCGCTGTTCCTTTTTCATTATGACGAAGGTGTCGTCCACACACCGGACCCATACTTTTGGTTGTATGCATAGGAGCGCTATAGTTTCTAGATGCCACATGGCAGTCTCTGCTAGGAGTCCTGAGAGTGGCGATCCCTCTGATTGGTTGGTATGTTTGTCCATCAAACCGAAGGCAGGCAGTGAGGCAGAGGTTGATGAGGTCCGTGATTCCAGGTATTTCGATCTGGGTGTACTTGGCTGGGTCGGGTGCGTGGTGTGGCACTGCTGTCGTGGATTCCTTCACTAGCTCTGGGTCCACGGATGCAAAGAGTTCTGCGATTGCCTTTCCCGTCTCTCCCCGGCGAGGAAGGCAGCTGTGAAGGTCCGGCCATTCCCCTGCAAACAGAGCAAGTCATCTCCCGACAGGTGCTGGGGAGGACCGCCAAGAGGCAGCCGGGGAAGAAGGTGGGGGCTATGAATAGAGCCGGGGGAAGGGACCAGCCTCCAGCTGCCTCTCTCCTGCGACTCTAGAGCATCCATGCTCTACGAACTGGAGACATGCCAACACACAGGCTTCCTCTGGGCTCTTCTAGGAAGCTGGAGGAAAAGCGTGGCCTCCCTGGGAGAAAGGCTCTCTCCTGGAGGCCTTGTCACATGCGGAGACGAGCCCAAAGCTCTTTGCACGAGCCCGATCTTGGGACCAAGCAAGTCAAGTGCAAAAGGTCAGCCTCTTCCTTCCCCAAACGGGTCAATGGAAGACAGTCCTGCTGAGTCCCCAGCACACCCCTTGCAATCTGCCTCCAGGCTTCATGATCGCCAGGGCTCCTTCTGGCTGCACCGGTCAACCAGGGTGGGAAGAGTTTCCCCATTTTGAGATGAAAGCCCTTGAAATCCAGAAAGGAAACCAGGGAAGATTCCACCTGCTGTGTCCCCGTTTCGTATCACTGACCCCACCGGCAGCCCTTGGTCTCCCTAGAAATGCCGGGTTCACTCCAGCAATAAAGAAACGCACAATTCCTGCTTTGACCCTTAAACGGTGCAGTAAAATACGTGTATTCAGAAGTTTCCACTGGGCATGGCAAGATCTCTGAACACCCATGCTTAACACCCTGGTGATTTTCCAACAGCCTGCTTTACCTTCAGCTGACTCTGATTCATCTCATGGCCTGAACCCAAATGTCTTTATCGCCCACTACGACTAACTTTAGAAATGAAATGGCAGCCATTCTTTTGCCCCTATTCAACAGAACTGGATGAAAGATTCTGGGGGAGATCATAAGTTTGCCACCTAGGAAGAAATCTGGGGACAAAGTTGATCCTTCTGCCACAATCAAGACGGACAGTTCCAGAAGAGCAAGGTTTGTGCAAAAGCAGGTTTCCCAGTTTGGGAGTTCCTCAAGAAGGACAAAATTATCCACCATTTTTTGTAGACAATTGTTAGGAAGGGACATACAAGGGATCCTAGCAAAGAAGTCAGTTTTGAAAAAATCAAACAAATGGATGGGATGATTTGTATGCAAGAGGAAAATTATTTTGGAGAGAATAAATTATTTCTTCTTTCCCCTCCATCTATGCTTGCTTGTTGTGCAATTTGTGAAAATAGGGCATACATCACAGAGATATCCCTAGGCAAGAATTCTGCTGAATTTCAGAATGATAGAAGCTAAGGAGCTTCAAAGATTGAAGCCCAGAAGAAGGCTTGGCAGTGTCCCTCTCCCTTGGCCCCCAGGTCAGAAAAGGAGAGAGGAGGGGGCTGGATGCAGAAGAGGAACTGGAGCAGAGGCAGAAGGGCTTAAGCGTCCAGGAGTTTCCAAGCAAACACCCCAGTGCCACCCCCACCCCACCCCAAAGTCCCCAGACTCCCTTGTGGACCCTGGTCCTTGGAAAGAGAACTAGCACAGGTCAGAGGGTGCCCCGACAGTCCTGGGACGTCCCATCGCTCCACCATCCTTCTTGTGAACTGCTGGGTTGGCTTTGCAAGTCTCCATTCTCCCTGCCCAGAAGCTGGAGTCATAGAAGAAGGCAGGGGCGTCAGGGGCTTTGTGAACACTCGCTGTTCTCGCTCAGACCATCATGCTGCCCGTGGTCTACTGAATCCCCCCACTTGGCTGGTTTGCCCAACGTGCTGTCCTGGTTAACTTTCACTTAATTTAGCTTTTCTGGCTTTGCATCTGATTAGTTTAATGGTTCAGTGCACCGGGTGAACCCCAGAATAGATTAATTTTTCAATCTGCGTAAGCATGTTATGCGAAGAGGGCCACTGAATCATAGACTCACCCCACTGCTGATTTGGCACCAGCCACTCCCCCATAATAAACCAGAAGAAACCACTTTGGGGTCTATGCAAAAGTTTCCTAAAGGTTGTTTCAGGAGAGTCCAGATGAACCTGGTCAGTCCTGCTCTATCTGGGCCCCCAGGTTGGCCTCAGGGGTTGCCTGTCTCTCATGCTGGCCCCTCTTTCCCCTCTGAATATGGTTTTATTGTTCTTATGCTTTAAGGTGTTACTGCTGGGGCTGGCCTGCTCTGCCTTGGTGGCTTCCACGGCAGAGCAGCAGATAAATATTGTGATTAATGATTAAATGAATTGCTTCACTGAGTCACTGACTTCTCTTCCCTCCCCTTTCTCTGTTGGCGTCCTGGGGCCAAATGTTGGGCTATATATAAACTCTTTCTGGCTTCTCAACGTTTCACGTAACTGATACAACAGCAGGAATAATGGCGGCAGTCAGATTCCTGTGCAAAAGAGGAAGCCCAACTGAGTTCCCTGAGCCAATGTCCAGCTGTCGCCTTGAATGCAAGAGTGCCTTCAAGCATGTGCAGAGGGCACTCTGCTTCCCACCATCCTCCACGACATGCTCCTGTCTGTCAGGAGCGATCACCCGAACCAGCATCGCTTTCTGCTTGATCTGCCGCCCTCTCGGGCAGCTTCAGAACGGTGAGCGACTGCAGGACCAGGAACGGACAGACAGCATTATCAGTACTGGCAAGGATTGCTGTCAACATGATCCGGGGCGGCTTCCGACAGTGCCCTGAACCCAAACAGAGCAAACCATAGAACGGGGCTCTCCCGGTGAATGACTTCCTACCCCGAGGATTGTCATCACAAAAGCTCCAGAGCCTCTCAGCCTATCTTCTCTGCCACGTGATTCCAGGGATCCAGGAGAGACTGTGCTTTAGATCCACAGGATCCTAGATGCAGAAGGGACGCTGGACCAGCCCCCTGGACCAGCCCCCTGCTTCTTGCAGCACCCTCTGGAGCCCTGTTTCTCAACCCTGGCCACTTTAAGATGGCTGAACTTCAATTCCCAGAATTCCCCATGCTGCCTAGAGAATTCTGGGAGGTGAGGTCCACCCATCTTAAAGTGGCCAGGGTTGAGAAACAGGGCTCTAGAGCAGGGCTCCTCAACCTTGGCCACTTTAAGATGGGTGGACTTCAACTCCCAGAATTCCCCCAGGCTGGCTGGGGAATT